CACTGGCCGAAATCTACCATCGGACAGATATATCTGCCCGCTACTTTCCTCCAATAATTTGCATCTCTTTTGGCGCTTTTCAGGGGTTAAGTAAGAACCTTTGAGGCAGCTAATCTTACCTGGAAGAAGTCTTTTGATGATGAAACGCGTCGGACGGAGCCTCCCTCTGACGTCATCACGCTGTCCACCATCCTGGAAACTGTATATGAATGCTGATATTCCTCTTCATGTTTATAAGTAGGATTTTATTTGCACAATAAAGACACATTGGTTTTCCCGCACTAGGAGAGGCATGTTTTAGTTTTCATGTCCTGATACTGTTACGGGAATGGATCACTTAAGTGGATTCTGGGTCCTGATATGACATAGAAGAGAGTCTAATATGACCCCCTATAACCCACATGGAAGAAAAATATATTTTAAAAATATTCTTCCTAAATATATTAATATATATTTTAAATACTACAATTTTGGCCGTATTCAATATATTTCAAATATATACAGTATATATCAGTGGGAGGAATAGTGCCCCATCATTGGTGTCAGGGGGAGAAATAGTGCCCCATCATTGGTGTCAGTGGGAGGAATAGTGCCCCATCATTGGTGTCAGTGGGAGGAATAGTGCCCCATCATTGGTATCAGTGGGAGGAATAGTGCCCGTCATTGGTGTCATTGGTAGTGCCCCATCATTGGTATTAGTTGGTGGAATAGTGTCCCATCCTTGGTGTCAGTGGGAGAAATAGTGTCCCATCATTGGTGTCAGTGGGAGGAATAGTGCCCCATCATTGGTGTCAGTGGGAGGAATAGTGCCCCATCATTGGTGTCAGTGGGAGGAATAGTGCCCCATCATTGGTGTCAGTGGGAGGAATAGTGCCCCATCATTGGTATCAGTGGGAGGAATAGTGCCCCATCATTGGTATCAGTGGGAGGAATAGTGCCCCATCATTGGTATTAGTTGGTGGAATAGTGTCCCATCCTTGGTGTCAGTGGGAGAAATAGTGCCCCATCATTGGTGTCAGTGGGAGGAATAGTGCCCCATCATTAGTGTCAGTGGGAGGAATAGTGCCCCCATCATTGGTATCAGTGGGAGGAATAGTGCCCCATCATTGGTATTACTGGAAGGAATAGTGCCCCATCATTGGGGTCAGTGAGAGGAATAGTGCCCCATCATTGGTGTCAGTGGGAGGAATAGTGCCCCATCATTGGTGTCAGTGGGAGGAATAGTGCCCCATCATTGGGGTCAGTGAGAGGAATAGTGCCCCATCATTTGGGTCAGTGAGAGGAATAGTGCCCCATCATTGGGGTCAGTGAGAGGAATAGCGCCACATCATTGGTGTCACTGGGAGGAATTGTTCCCAGAGGGCCGGATAAAGGCAGGCAAAGAGCCACATTCAGCCCATGGGCCGCAGTTTGGACCCCATTGCTCTAGGGTGTGTGCTTTCAGCAAATATATCTTGTTTTGGACGTTTTAGGTCAGCAATGGGCAAACTACGGCCCGGCGGACCTTTTAATCCGGCACGCGGAGCGTGGCAAACATTGGCTGTCAGGATGTGTGTAGGCGGGGCAGCGTGAGGAGCGGGGCAGCGTGAGGCGGGGCAGCAGGGGAGCTAGGCTCCTCTCACAGTCCGCCCTGAAGACCGGAACGGCGCGGGAACACGGCGAGAGGAACGCGCGGAGCAAAGGTAAGTGAATTAACACAATATGCGGAATGAATTACTATAGGGGGGGGATGAATTACTATGGGGGGTGAATTACTATATGGGGGATGAATTACTATGTGGGGTGAATTACTATATGGGGGGATGAATTACTATATGGGGGATGAATTACTATATGGGGGATGAATTATTATATGGGGGATGAATTACTATGGGGGATGAATTACTATATGGGGGGATGAATTACTATATGGGGATGAATTACTATGGGGGGGATGGATGAATTACTACTATATGGGGGATGAATTACTATATGGGGGATGAATTACTATGGGGGGATGAATTACTATATGGGGGATGAATTACTATGGGGGATGAATTACTATATGAAGGGCAAATGGGGGGGTGAATTACTATGGGGGATGAATTACTAGACATGGGGGGGTGAATTACTATGGGGGATGAATTACTATATGGGGGATGAATTACTATGGGGGATGAATTACTATATGGGGGGTGAATTACTATGGGGGATGAATTACTATATGGGGGATGAATTACTATATGGGGGATTAATTACTATGGGGGATGAATTACTATATGGGGGATTAATTACTATGCTTACTATGGGGGAATATTACTATACTTACTATGGATGACACATACACATCATTCATCTACTCTCTTTGGTCCGGCCCCCGGTCCAATTTATGAACCCATTGCGGCCCTCAAAGTCAAAAAGTTTGCCCACCCCTTTTTAGGTCATCTTCAGGAACTCCGGCAGTGAGAAGGGTTAAAACAGAGTGACCTGATTAGTGTCATGGCGGACTGCCTAATACCATTGTCAGGAATCTAGGAGTGACCAGAAAGGTGTGGACTGACACAGGGAAACGCAGGTTTCAGGTATAGTATAATAATACAGATTTTATTTATTAGCCACCCAGATATATATATACCTCCTTGTTTTATAAACGCACAGTGAAACAAACCAACCTTCCACTAATCTTAGTAGGTGCAGGAACACAGGCGTAGTCAGGGCTGGAGAGGTGGAATGGTCAGGCCGGCCGTAGGGTTCTGTAATGACTGCCTGGTAGTACCTCTAGCGTTCCTCAGGGCAGGGTTCCCCAGGGCGCGGAGTCTAAGTCCCAGTCTGCTTATTCACCAGGGCCCCTGATGGTGGGGATGGACTTGGAGCAGACAGGAACCAGGTCGCGGCCCCTGAGTACACCTGCTAGTGGTAGAGGGATCCGCCAGAGGTATGTGCAGGTAGAAAGCCTGATGTGAAGAGGCAGAAGGTGTGAGCATAGGACGACTGGATCCGTGCAGGATGGATGGCAGAGTAGTTAGCGTGGTCAGACGGGGCCAGGTCAGCAACGTGCGGGCAGCAAGGTACCAAAGGAGCAGGCAGAGAATGGTCAGGGTCACAAGCTGGGTTCAGTAACTCACCGGCAGCGCGGTACAGGGGATCAGGCAGAAGGATGGTCAGGCTAGCCAGGGGTTCAACAGGAGACGGTCAGCAGAGGTCAGGATCAAGCAGGGTCAGCAACGAAGCAGGAACACAGGATACCAGGTACAGGGGCTCATGGAAAACATACACCAAGGCCCAGATCACAGGCCTGGTCATGCCCTAAATACACCTTCTGCAATCAGCCCCAGGTTGGCTGATTGCAGGAGTGAGCTTCTGGCTGCTGAGAGCACCCGCTGGTCAGCTCTGGTACTGCAGCCCACACAGCCGGTGAGTCCCACCACCAGTGCTGAGTCCATTCCTGACAACAATTGTTCAATTTTTACTGTGTGAAGAAATCCGGCCGACTCTTCAGGGTATGGCATAATGAAGCCGTGCAGCACACAGTGTTCACATGGTATTGGCACACACAGGTTAATCACGATGGGAGGTTGCGGGGCAGATCCAGGGGCGGACTGACAACTCATGGGGCCCCTGGGCAATAGGGGATCATGGGGCCCGTGTCCTTGCCCAAACTCAAAAAAAAAAGCCTATGAAAAAGGTACCAGGGGCATCTCATGGGGCCCCCTACGGACCCCCGGGCAGTGCCCGAGTTTCCAAATGGTCAGTCCGCCCCTGGGCAGATCTGTATGTCATCATATGACTGGTGCGGCCATGAATAGGATACTAACTGGTGAGATACATATATATGATATATAAAAAAAAAAAGTGTAATAGCTGCAGGGAACTCATTCATGACGATCATTATGGTGGCCAATTACCCCGAGGACCCAGTGCACACGTGCCAAGCGACATTCAGGTACGTACTTCAGTGGGTATGTGATGGATTTGGTGAAATGCCTATGCTGTTTTGTTTAAAATATACATATTTACTTTTATACATTTCTAAATATATGTGTTGTGTGTGTATATATATATATATAGTCTGCTGGGCTTTGCAGTCCTCCTTAACTTGTTTTGCTCAGAGCGATGCTCTTAACCCCTCCCTTCGTACTGAGAGAATTTTACTTAGATTGAGAATGTGAGGGGGGGGGGTGAAAAGATAACGGGATGAGAAGCAAGCATCAAGTTTCTACATTTCTCCTATATTTCAGCCAAGCAAAATGTGCCTTTCAGAATGTGACTAATTACATAATAGTGACGTATACTCTATTGTTCTCCATGTATAAAAGGTTAAGCACCGCCCTGCAATAAACAGATGAGATGTGAAAGTGGTTGCACGTGTAATTATTTTCCAGCGTGCACGCAATCCATATCTCAAAATTAGGAACAGCAGCGACATCCTACCCTGAGCCCGATTGTGGTTCTCCCAACCTTTTTTTTTTTGTTTTTTTTTTAATGGATGAACTTGTCTTTCTTCATCCAGACTATGTAACATATATACACACTTTTTTTAATCACACACACTATAAGTACCAGAGTCTTTTTTTCATATTGGCATCCTATAGTCTTCTGCAAAAGGCTTGCGTTAGGTTTTTTTTTTTTGTTTTTAACAGGGATGGGGGCAGCAATCTCCAGGAAGGATGCAGAGGATCTCACCACTGCCCCCCCAGGGCCACAGATCTGGGCTCACAGAAACAGCCGCTGACAAGTTGTAGGATGCAGATCTCTTCTACCAGCAGGAAACTTATTTTGCAATAAACACAACTACCGAGTGTATGACCAACATAAAACATGACGTGAAATATAATATTTATTATGCATTTGATATATCTGTAATTATTTTTTTAACATACTATACATATACAATATACTTTGTAATTAATAAATTCACTTCTATTTTCATTACACATACTGTACACAACTAGTATAGGTAGTTTTTTTTATATCATCATCCTATAATCTTCTGCATAAGGTTTGCCTTTTATGGTTTTTTTTTAGTTTGGGGCAATCCTTGGGTAGGACGCAGCGGGTTTTGCCTCCGTCATCCAGGGCCACATATCCGGACTTACAGAAACAGCCGACGACACATACATCAATGCATGCCCGTTTTTCTCTCCAATTGCTGCATGAAGCGGGACAGGCGCTCCCACAGTCGGTGTAGGTTCTGTTCCCTGTGCAGTCTCCGCACTCCTCTGCTTTGACGCAGCCTCCGACTTCATTGGCCAGGAAGCCCTTCTTGCAGAAACATCCCTTCACACACATCTCAATACATGGAGGGGGGACAGGCCGGCTGCAGCTTGCTGGGCAGGCCGACCCACAGGATTTGAATTCTTTATTTTTTGGGCATCGAGTGCAAGAGACTGAAAATGTCAAAAAATAAATTAAATATGAATGACATAATTGCAAGAGAAAGCTGCATACAGGAGAACATTCCTGTATCTTAGAGAGAGAAAAAAAAAAAAAAAGAGAAAAAACCAAACCGTATTTGCTTTGACTCCCTAGGCTGCACCACCCAGGAAATTTCTCTAGGTGGCAGTAACCTGGTTAAGGATGAACCAATCAGATTGTTTTTTATCCATAAAGACTAGCCAACGCATTTTATTTATAAAAAAATTCTCAGAGCTATTAATCCTCCATGTACAGCCGATCTGTGCAAATCTGAGGCAAAAAGCAAATGTTATTAGGCTATTTATTCTCTAGGTCGAATGTTATCCATCCATAAAGAAGAGTAAAACAGGACAAAACGACTTAGGGCCACTAGATGGAGCTGAGCAAATCAGAAAAATACTGCATTACGGCCACTAGATGGAGCTGACAATCATAGGAAATATAGATTTGTTTTTTATGATTGGCAGCTCCATCTAGTGGCCGTAATGCAATATTTTGCATGTGCTGTGCAAGTAAGAACACTCATCCCCCATGTAACTATTGGCATCTAGACTCCACCCACCTGACCCATATCTAGTAAAAATGGGCCCCCAAAAGTCAGGAGGGACCTTGTACAGCTGCACAGTCTGCCCACCCCCGGTGACACCATCCTCCTATAGAGGGATTTAATTTTTTTTTTCTTATACATACCTGGCCCAGCATATATTAGTATGAAGGAGACACCTGGAAAATAAAAACAGCGATTGATAACATTTTAATTTTTAAACTGTAAAATTAAAAAAAAAAAAAAAAAAAAAAAACCCCACACACTAAGTAAATTTAAAGATAGATATTCTCAATAAGGAGTGAAGGAAGATCAAAACCCCAGTAAGGTTCAATTTTTGTTCCTTTGGGGAGATTTCCTTCACTTCCTATAAAGGAGACAACAGGAATTGTGCGTAAATCTCTCCAAAATAAGGAAAATCTCCTCAAAGTCAGTTGTCCCCAATGATAGATGTCCCCTCTATTCCTGTTCTGGTGACAGCTGTAGAGGTTTGGATTTCCCACCAATGTGAACAGAAAGGGGGAGGGGGCCTATTATTGCTCCTAGTAAGGCCAAGGCTGGGGGGGAGAGGGGTCCTTTTACACCCACTGACCCCAATCCTGGGAGGGGGGGTTATTATGACTACTGACCCCAATACTGGAGGGGGTTTATTACACCCACCAACCCTAGTACTGGTGGGGTGGTTATAACACCCACCAAACCCACTGCTGTGGGGGGGGATTATTATACCTACTGATCCCAATGCTGCTGGGGGGGGGGGGGGGGGGGATATGACACCCACTGACCACATTGCTGGTGGGATTATTATAGCTACTGACCCAAATGGTAGGGGAAGTACTATATCCACTGAAGCCAATGCTGGGGCACCATTCTGACCAAGGAGAAGTGGTCATTTTTGCTCCTACTTCCACTCCAATTGCCCCCAGTCCAGCCCCCACAACAATGGAGGGACCCTCTGTTTAAGCTTGGGGCCCCTGGTCTAAAGAATACCCCTTCATAGATAACCCTGATCACACCCAGGGGGAGTGTTGTGCCATACAGAATGGATAACCATGGAGGATGGGCGCCATCTTGGATCTCAGGTGGGAGGATATACTGGGTGCTCTCAGCCTGACTCCAATATAAATCAGTGATATTAAAATTTCTACTCACCAATCAGAACCAGCAGGAATCCAGAGGACGGCCCCATGATTATGATCATGCTGACACAAAGTAGAAGAATGAGCCCTACAGATGACACGGGAAGATATACATTTCTATTACAACACAATTGGAATCGCACCATTCTAACCAACTGTCATTGAGGAGCTCTGTGTCAAAACACAAGCCTCCCTCACTGGGGTCAATTGATAGAACCCCCCCCCCCCCCCCCCCCGAACTATTCATCCAGTGAACCTGCATCTACATTGGTTCGGGCAGAAACGTGTTCTTTTATTAGTAGCAGTGGTAAAATACCACTAGGTGGAGCTGAGGAGCATAGGAAATACACAAGAGATACAATGTAGCAATTCTAGCCACATGAAGACCACAATACATAGATATATGTATGAAAGTGGTTTATCGTGGTTATGGCTGGAAAAAAAAAAAAAAAAAAAATCCAGGTGTCAGGCTCTCGATGGGGGGAAAGTTGTCACCCTATAAAGGTGCCGGAACACGGTAGGATCACTAGGGATTAGGTTAATAAAAAATCTACAGATTTAAAAATATTTAGCCCGGGTTCACACCGCATTCCTGCGCTAATCACATGCGATCTGTGTGCGGTGCAATCGGAGCCGTACATTTTGTATGGCTAATCGCATTGCACCCGCACCAAAAACATGCAGGACCTTTTTTTTCAGTCCACACTAGAATCGGATCACATGGGTATTCACACCTACGCGAGAGTTCACATACATGCGGTATATTGCATGTGATTTGTGCAGGAACCACACTGCATTCCTCTGCGAATCAAATGCGATTTGTTTGCAGTGCAATCGGAGCCGTACATTTTTTATGGCTCTAATCGCACCAAAAACACGCAGGAAACATTTTGCTCTGCACTATAATCGGATCGCACGGGTAGTCACACCTATGTGATCCGATTCAGCACATCGCACCACATTTTGCAGATTGCTTTTGGGGTGTTAACATACACAACCGCAGCAATTCGCATGAACGGGGCGCGATTCTGAAGCAGTGCAGAATTCTCACTGAAAACAAGGTACTCCCAAAGCCCCCCCCCCCTCCCCACAGTGGAGGTAAACAAGCGAAGCTTCCGCATTTGGGCGGAACTCGGATTTAAATTGGCTTTTGCAACGACAGTAACACCACGTACACGCAATAAGAAAAATTGAACGAAACTTTTTGTATGAGAACCAATCATCCGATAACACTGTTCAACAGGTAAAAAGTTTTGGGCATAAAATTAGCTAATCTTACATAATTTTGGGGTGCTGAAAACAAAAATGACCCTAAAAAATGTTGATTGGCTCTAGTTTCCATGATATATTCACCCATCTAATGACGTAAGCCATTCAAAATTATGATGCAACTTCAGCTGCATATTGCGCAATTGATACTGGTGACCAATAGAAAATGGCATGTATACTGAGATGATGCAATATTAGCCTTTAATTGCATCACTTCGCTGCATAAAAGCTGCAGTATCTGTAGCTGATTGGAGTTCGTCTTTACATTTCGTTTTATGCTTATATAGGCTACTCAGTAATGCCTCCAACTTGTGTGAATAAAGCAGATAATTTCTGCTATATCTGCAGTGAAATAACTTTTATCTCACAAAAAAGGAGGATAACAGGAATGATTAAGAAAGCCTACAACTTGTATTTTGGCTGCAAGATAGGAGACCAGGACAAGAGCTGGGCACCACATATATGCTGCAATTCTTGTGGGACGGCACTGGAGCAATGGTTGAATGAAAAAAAGGCATCTATGCCTTTCGCTGTGCCAATGATTTGGAGAGAGCCAACAGATCATGTTAGTAATTGTTACTTTTGTATGGTGCCTCCAATTGTAAAAGGGCTAAATAAGAAGAAAAAGTTATCTGTGCACTATCCAAATATTCCATCGGCAATACGTCCAGTTCCTCATGGAGAGGGGCTACCAATTCCTAAAGCACCAGAATCCTTCGTGGTTGAGTCAACTGAGGAAGAACCTGAAGCGTGTAGTCACGTGCAGTTGTAAGAGATAGCCCTTTCCTCGAATACAAGAGAAAAGCCAAGAGAAGCAAAACCGACACAAACTGAAGACAAAACTAGTGAGAATCCTAGAGAAAAAAAAAAAAAAAAAAAAAAAAAAAAAAAAAAAAACCCAAACCCATGATATTCTCATTGTGTGTACTGGGCCTAAGGCCAGGGTCACACCTATGCAGGTTGCATTTTAACCATTTCTGCATTGCATTTTTACAGTGGGCTTTTGTTGCTAGGCAGATTTAAAAAGCAGAATGTATCAAAAAAAGCACTACATGCTTTTCTACAGCATTTCCATTGAAGACTATAGAACCAAAAACACAATTTTTTTTTTTTTTTTTTTTTAATAAATAAGTCCCTGACCCCTTCCAAAAAAAATACACTGAGTGTGAACCTGTCCCATAGGAAATAATGTTAAATGAACTGTACTGCATTTCTGCAAAATGGTGTGAATCTGGGTGGGTGTAACATGTTACAAATTAAAAAAAAAAAAAAAAAAAAAAAAAACAATGATTGTGATAATCCACACACAGTACATGGCAAACACAGTACAGTCCATTGAACATGATTTCCTATGGGACACATTCACATGTCCGCATTTTCACCCAGTGCATTTATTTTTTTTGGAAAGGGTCAAAGACTTTATTATACAAAAGTTAACTTTTTTGGTTCTATAGACATCATTGGGAGTGCTGAAGAAAAGCATGTGTTGCAGTTTTGATGCCTTTTTTTTGCTGGGCAGATTTTAAAAGAAAAAGGAAAAAAAAAAAAAAAAAAAAAAAAAAAAAAAAAAAAAAAACACTATATATATATATATATATATATATATAAATAAAATATTGCAGTTAAATATACTCAGACAAGGCCCTTCATGGCAGGATCACCAGGGATTGTTATAATAAAATCAGCCCATTTCAATATACGGAAGACAGTTTTTGCCATTCCAGGACACGCAGGAACTCATTAAAGATCCACA